GCCATCCTTTAGATGTGCTACGCTTTGGTTTCTTTTCTCCCCAGTGCTGAGGTCATACTACAGGGAAAGCAGGTTTCTGACAGTCTTGGCTTGCACATGGGAACATCCCTCTGGCCGGTGGTGACAGCAGCAGGGGTCAGCTTATTGTACAGCCGCCCTTCTCCTTAAAGGGGTTCTTGTCCTCGGGGATTCCTTTCAGCAGCGGGTCCTCACCCGCCATGGACTCGATGTACTCCTTGATCTCTTTGCCGGTCTTGGAGACCTGCCGAGGAAGGAGATGCTCTGCGTGGGTTACGGGAACAAACCCTCACTGCAGAGCTGCGCTCCCGCTCGTCGGCTGCCTACGAACCCCTTCGTGCAGCCGGGAGAGGGGAACCGTGGCCCTGAGCGTCCCACCCAGCCTGGGGTGTCCCCGAGAGCATCCCCGGGGTGCTATGGGCACCTCGCTGTGTGCGGGGCTGCAGTTCCCAGGCTCTGGGACGTGGGGCTGAGCCCGAGGGGCATGGTTGCCTCGAGGGGGGAGGTGTGAATGCACATGCTTCTGCCTGTATTTGAGGTTTAATTTCAGGGGTTGTGGTTTTTTTTTTAATCTTTGCAGCACGATCAGGTCAGGAAGTTACCCCAGGGAACGGCCCCTTTGCATTTTAGGTGAAAAACTCACCATTTGCCTCTCATTCTTCACCTCCTTCTTCAGCTGATCCAGCTCCATCTTCAGCAGCTCCTTCTCTGTCATGTCCTGAGCCATTTTGCCCTGTAACCACAGGGAAACGGTGCATTATTAGTATATAAATGGGCTTCTCCTAAGGCACTTTAGGACTATTGCTTTGGCCCTAGTAGTATTGCAAACGTTGCTAATGTCTCAGCTACCGCCATGGCGAGACAAGGGCTGATGCTAAAAAAAAACCTGAGGGGGGAGGCACCTTTCAGAACCTTCTTGTAACATCTACTGTAACCAGATTTTCGTTTGCTTGTTCTCAGCAGGCACATCGAGCAACAGATGCAGTTGGAGGGCAGCAGAGGAGGATCCAGCCTGGTTTTTAAAGAGGTCTTTGCTACCACAGGGGCTGTTTCCCCGAGACATGAGGTGGCCAGTTCAGCGGGGCCGGCTGAGCCCGCAGAAAAGCCGCTGCCTCAGGGCTGTTGGAGCAGCAGCCTCGTAGGAGAACCTGGATGCCCAGATCTGCAAACTAGACCTTCCTGATCTGTGTCCTGTGCCTGGGCAAGAGCATCTTTGCAGGTTTTCTAAGGAACTAAATATTGTAGTTAGTTATTTATTTTCTTCTCTCCCCTCCTTGTGCACACCCCCCAGGTAAGTGCTAACATGGATTGAGGCCCCTCCATTGCTGTGAACTCGGCTATTTGCACGCAGAGGCGTTGCTTGCTGCGACAGAAGGATTTTGGGATCGTGTAGGTTGGAAAAGCCCAGCTCTTTTTTCACAAAAGCCAATCCCAGGGTTATGTGAGATTCCCTAACATGGATTGAGGCCCCTCCATTGCTGTGAACTCGGCTATTTGCACGCAGAGGCGTTGCTTGCTGCGACAGAAGGATTTTGTGATCGTGTAGGTTGGAAAAGCCCAGCTCTTTTTTCACAAAAGCCCATCCCAGGGTTATGTGAGATTCCGGCACAACTGGCCTGCGCTGCTGAGATCTGTTCCCATGTTTAAATTCGGGTTTGAAAGCCTGGCCACAACCTTTTAAATAAAAAAAGTAAATGTGATTAAGCTGAAACATGCCTCGGCCCTGCTTTGGAAGGCATGAAACTTGTGTGCCCTGGACCCCGCTGGTTTTCTGCGGCTGCCCAGTGCTCCTCTCCCCATCGAGGCCCTCGACGCACAGCCGGCCCCGGCAGATGCTTGCGGCAGAGCACAA